TAGGACAAGTTGGTAGCAACGTAGTCGACAAAGTTCGAATTTACTCTGTACACATTGAGAATTCAGTTACCGCGCGTGAAAAGTGTAAATGTTTGCTTAATAGATTGGTCAAACGTCTCGAAAACCCTGATCCTTTGAGAAAGTACTCGTACACACTCACCGCGTTAAATATTAAACAAGCATGTAATCCAACATGAATTTATATTTTAACGAATGCGAATGCGAATGCAAGAATGTCGATATAGTTACGTAATGATAATGATATTAATGATAATAATAATATTAATAATATTAATAATAATAATAATAATAGATAATACCAATATCATTATCATAATTAGTCATTATCATAATTATTTATGTAGTTGCATTATATAGTATCATTTTGAATGATATCTTATCGATTATATTCATCTAAATAACAATCCTCATTATGATTTCAAAGATTTCAATCAATATTATATGCTCGTTAATATAGAATACGGAGTAGATTTTTTTTCAAAAGCATATTCTTTTTCGCGTGTATCAATCGATCAGAATAAAACAGTGAAATAATTAGAAGAATATCGTGCAAGAAGAAGAGAAAAAAAAAATAAAAAAAGAAAAACAAGAAAGAAAAAAAAAGAAGAGAGAGAGAGAGAGAGAGAGAGAGAGAGAGAGAAAAGAGCAAAACAAAAAGGCAGAGGAAAAAATCGATGTTTGAGTTGTTAAAATTGATGAAATTTATCCGATTAAACTAAATGGCTAAAGCACATTCCGCGAGGTTTGGCTTTGATTGGAAACACTACTACAAGGCTAAAGACACCTTCTAAACGTTTCATCGTACCTCATGTATGCACGATAAATGTGCTATACTCAAACGAAAGGTAAAGAGATTGGATTTAAACGAGGTAACTTTCTTTCAATAAGCTCACTCACTCTCTCTCTTTCTCTCTCTCTCTCTCTCTCCTTAGCGGCCATTAAAAGACTCTTAGAGCATGCAAAAGCACTATCGAGTTAGTTTTCTACCGGGTAGCAGTTTTATCGAGACGCTTCTCTCTCTCTCTCTCTCTTTCTTTCTGTGTTTCTTTTTCTTTATCTGTCTTTCTATCTCTATCTTTCTCTCTCTCTATCTTTCTCTCTCTCTCTCTCTCTCTCTCTCTCTCTCTCTCTCTCTCTCTCTCTCTCTCTATCTTCGCTTTCTCCTTTCTCGGTTCATCTATCTAACTCGAGAGGAGGAAGTTGCAATCTCGTTTCGAGCATGCTTATCGATTCCGTATTCGGGTATATAATCAAACGTGAACCAAAAGGAACGTTTGCTCTGTCGATTAAATGTCTCTCACATGTAAACCCAATTTCTTCATTTTACGTCTGTACGATCGTGGTTTTTAGGAATGGGATGATGAGAGGAAAGGAGGCAGGGAGGTAATAGTGGTTGGGGTGTGGGTGGGTGAGTGGGGAAGAAAAAACAAAGAAAAAAGAAGTATAACATAAAAGGTGTAAATTGAAATCGCGTAAAAGTGTATAAAGTGCGTGTAAAACAAAAAAAAAAAAGAAAAAAAAAAAGAACAAAAAAAAGAGAAAAAGAAAAAGAAAATAAAGGGTGTTTTGGGGAGAATTAGAAGACACAGTGCGTACGAAATCAATGAAAAGAATGGTCCCATATGTGAAAACCCGATAAACGAACAATACTTAAGTTATTGTTTGTCAAACGAAACAAGCTGAAAATGATTGAATAAAAGTCTGGTATAGGAAAGCCGTATAAAACTGTGTAAAAAAAAAAAAAAAAAAGAAAAAAACAGAAAGGCTGGAGGGAGGGTGGCGGGGCGGGGGAATAGGTATAGAACAGATACAATATGGAAAAAAAATAGAAGAATGGTTCCAGATGTGAAAACCCGATATACGAATAATAACTTATAGATGTTTTTGTTTTTTTTTTTGTTTTCTTTTTTTATCCTTTTTGTTTTTTTTTTGTCTTCATTTTCTTCAAATAAAACACACAAGAGATAGTCATCGAATAAAACATTATTCAATCTGATACTATAATTGTAAGTACAAAAGGAATAATTTATGATTTATGAATTAATCACATTGTACTAATCATATTTATATAAGTACATATATATATATATATACACGTATTATAGATATTATATCATATATATGTATGTGTGTGTGTGTGTGTGAGTGTGTGTATGGGTGTATGTATGTATATGTATATTTAAGTATTTAAAATGAATATGAGGAGGCGAATATTAACAAGTTTAGCTTGAAACATAAAGTTAAATTTACTGTGCCTTAATGTTTAGTAATTTAACAACTCACGATTACCGTAACATACTCGATTCAAGTTCGACGCTGTTCCAGCATTCAGGAATCGTGGACTCGAAAGTACTCGGAACTTTGAGAACCGTAAAAGTAATAGAAATGAATAGAGAGAGAGAGAAAGAGAGCGATTAGGACGGAGTAATAATTAGGCGGATATAAACGTATCAAGGAATTTCGGGAAATGATTTATTTTCTAACGAACGTTAAATTAATTATGATAATCTAATAATCTCAATTATTACCATACAACGTGATTGTTCTTTTCTTTTCCTTTTTTTTTTTTTGCTTTTTTATTTTATTTTACGTTATTTTCTCTTTCTTTCGCAAAAAATTAATCATTAGTTTATATATAAATTTATATGACTGATATGTAGGATGAATCAAATGTATATATTTATGATTAAATCTTTTTAATAATAAAAAAAATTTTTTTTCTTTTTTTTTTTTTGTAATTCTTAAAATCACATTAAATAGAAAGTCTGAAAAGTTTCGAAAACGTGTAATTGATATTTAAAATCTCAATCAAAGAACGTTTTGGCCCTGCTGAAAACTTTTCTATCATTTTGAGATTATATATATATAAACTTCAAAAAATATCATTTGAAAAAAGAAACAAAGGCAATACACATATAGAGGAATATAGCATAGGAAAATATAAAATTCGTATCGTTCGTTTATTCATACATGGAATAACATCGACGATATTTGCCGATTCAACGAAGTGAGTTATTCCTGTAACATAATCCACAAATTGTGATTCACTTCAAATAAAATAGAATTATCAGCTGAGTTTATGGTGAAACATCAATTTTCAACTTTGTCCGTTCGCTAGTTCGTTTTTATTCCCCTTACGATGTACTTCAATGAACTTCAATAAAAACTTCATTAAATTTCGTTCAAGGATTCACGTATAACGTTTCTTTTTTGCTTCTTTTCTCTTTTTTCTCATCCCTTTGTTCTTCTTTTTTTTTTTCTCTTGTTAGTCTCTCCCCCTCCACCGCCACTTTTTCGCCCGCTCGTTCTTTTTTCTTTTTTTTTCTTTTTTTTTTTTCATGTAAACGCAGGAATATATATATATATAATTATTTCTCAAGACGCTAATTAAAAAGTCTCGATTTATTCGAATTTTAGGATTGCGAATGAAAAAGTTTTCACCACGGATATGTCGACATTTCGATTCGATTCGATTCGATTCGGTTCGATTCAATTCGAAATGATTTTTCAATTCTGCGAGCGAAGAAAGTTCCTTTTTTATTTATTTATTTCGTTTTTTATTCTTTATTTTTTATTTTTTTTTGTCCTTTTCCTTCATCTCAAGTAAACACGGGGAAAGGGGATGGACAAGCCTCGTGAGAAAGATAAAAAGAGAGAGAGAGAGAGAGAGAGTGAGAGAGGGAAAATTGAAAAATTATAAATGCGACGAAGGGATATGAAATAAATAAAGAAATAAATTAATACGTAAACGAATAAACGAATATAAAAAAGGATAGGAAAGAAATTTTGAATAGAGTACAAAAGCAAAAAGGAAAAAAGAAAGTAAGGAAAGTAAGGAAGGAAGAAAGATAGAAAGAAAGAAAAGATGAGAAAAAGAAAGGGATCTTTAGTTTGCGAAAGTTCATGAGAGAAAGTAAATATTTCTTTCTCATTGCAAAAACACGAATGATGTATTTCATTTCGCTAAAGGGCATTTCGAAAGTACACGGTCAAGGGATCTTCTTTAAGATGATTCGCTATAACGTACTTACTAGGCATATCCACTGTCTATCTTGTAAAAATAAAACGTACATTTTTATTTCCCTTTTCTTTTTTCCCCTTTCCATTTTTCTTTTTCCCCTCATAAACTTTCCTCAACTCCCACTCCAACCCCCCCCCCACCCAACCCCTTCTTTATCTTTGCCCAACTTTGATGTATTATACGTTCATATCCTCTGGACATTAAAAACAAAAAAAAGGGGCTGGAGGAAAAACAAAAAAAGAAAATGGAGAAATAAAACTTCCGTTACGGAACTTTATTTTATATTAAGAAAAAAAAAAAAAGAAAAAAAAAAAAACGAAAAAAAGAAGAATAGAAAGAAAAGGGAGAAAGAAAAAGAAATTTCTAACAAGGAAACAACAATCGACTTGATCAATCGACTAAAATAATTCACGAACGATTTGAACTTTCGTTAAACTTGATACTCAAACTCTATGACCCAGGGCGAAGAAAACGAAGAAGAAGAAAAAGAAGACGACGACGAGCAACGACGACGATGAAGAAGAAGAAGAAGAAGAAGAAGAAGAAGAAGAAGAAGAAGAAGAAGAAGAAGAAGAAGAAGAAGATACAAGAAACACAAAAGTTCCTTCTTGCAACTCTCTTGGTAACGTAAGTAGCTAAGATTGGTATTAGAAAATCAAGAAATTTGGAAAGTTTGTCTCATGGATCGGAAGTAGAGATCATTGCTTTGGACTTGGACGATCAGGATCAGTTTCTACGATGAGGTAAAGATAGTTCTATACTCTTGAAGATATTCTAGGAACATTTAGTGGCTTAGCGGGGGTCATACGTCTTACATATATTCGACGCACGTAAACCACCCTGTGAAACAAGTAGAAGCCGAAGAAGAGTGAGAGGTTGTTTGAAGATAGTGTATCTATTTATTTCTATCTCTCTCTCTCTCTCTTTCTCTCTATCTATCTATCTATCTATCTATCTATCTGTCTATCTATCTATCTATCTATCTATCTATCTATCTCCCTTTCTCATGAACAAGAAGGAAGGGAACAGCATTCCGCGAGAGACAACGAAGGCTCTTTGTTTCGTTAATCTCACCCCGTGGCTTGTAGATAAAGCCAGCTTCGCTAGTTTCTAAACTACTATGTTGCTTGGGGCTGTTATGTCAAACTGTAGCGACAATAGGGAGAAAGAGAGAGAGAGAGAGAGAGAGAGAGAGAGAGAGAGGAAGAGTGAGAGAGAAAGATGAAGTCACTATATACGTTCGTACGTACCTGGGCAAACGTGTAGATACATATAAGCCTAGAGCTGTTGTTACGCCCCTGGCGATCCATTCAAACTTCTTGCCCAATGGGCTAGCTCGCACCAATCATTAGTATATACCTTTATATGTAAACTCCTTCTCTGTACATCTATCTATCTCTGTCTCGTTCGTTCCTTCACTCATTCATTCTCTCTCTTTCTCTCTCTCTCTCTCTCTCTCTCTCTCTCTCTCTTTCTCTCTCTCTGTATTTCTGTCTCGCTTTATCAAATTTTCTCATGTTACGATGTCCTCGTTCGAAAAGAGGATGGTATTAGTTACACTTAACCCTTAACACTTTATCTTGTATATATTACTCGAAGGGTTGCGTAATCGCACTTAAGAGAGTTCAATTTAATTAATTTAATCAAGATTAGAATAATAAATTCTTTTCTTTAACATTTTCCCCTTTATTCTTATTCCTATATTTTTAATTGGTACTTTTATTTTCTACGATATAAGAATGTAATATATCTTTTCTTTTTCTTCTTCTTCTTCTTCTTCTTCTTTTTATTCTTGTTTTTCTTTTTTTCCTTTTTTTCTTTTCTTTTTCTTTTTTCTTTTCGCGCGCTCGTTCGACAACAATAAAAATCCAATTAGATATATCGAATTGATCGATATCGATAATGTCGGAATTTCTTTTTTGGTGATATTCTTCTTTTTTCCTTTTTGTTTTTTTCTTTTCTTTTTTCTTTTTTTTTTCCACGTTTTCTCATTATTCCTCGATTGATTTAATACAATTTTTGTATATATTGTTTTAATATTAGTTTATGTATTAGTTTAGTGTATATATTGTTTAATATAAGTTTTTGTATATATTTGTTTTAATACTTTTTTTTCTAATTGATCCTTTCGACATATATCAAAAGGCGATTATAGTCATTCGACAAAAATTCTATTTGAATTAAAAAAAAAATGTTAAACTTCTATATAAAAAAAGAAAAAAAAAATAAATGAACGTAGAAGAATTAGATTTTGAATTTATAATATTAATAAGAAATCAATAATGTACATATTACGAAAGATTATGACACTTCAGACGTTTTGTAAATACGCACGTGTAGAGATAAACGCGCGCGCTTATCAGACGTACCCTTTGTCCAGTAGATGAATGGAGAATGAAAAAAAAAAAAAAAAAGAAAGAAAGGAAGAAAGAAAGAAAGAAAGAAAAACAAGTAACACGCATAACATACACACGTGTATATACGTATAAAAAAGAAGAAGTAAAAATATCCTCACGTATGCACATAACTATGCATTATATATATATATGCTCCAATACATACATTTGTATATATACGTATACAGAGCCATATTTAATCAAACATCGATATCTTATCAGAAAGCTTTGATTAAATTATTGTAATAAAAAGAATAATAACTGAATAGAAAACGTACGTGCGTATAAACATATACGTAGTCTATGTATGTGTGTGAGTGTATGTATATATATATATATATATATATATATATATTATATATGAACACGTTAAATCGGGATTCATTTTTGTAGGATAGCTTCGATGACAAAGGCGAACCACGGGGATGTACGCATAGAAGGTTTTGCTGTAACAGCGGCATAGAAATCCTCAATTTCACGGTTCAGTTATTGAGGAGTGGTGAACACTTCTCCTATACGTGAAAGCTTACATTCAAAAAAACTGATGTTGAAAAACTCTGCGCCGTTCTTCTTTCTACCGTTTGGTTATTATCATTAAGAGCCCAGTAGGTAAACCTCTTTTCATATATCCATTCCGATGTACAAAAGATGAATTGTTTTCATTCGAATACCAGCTATCAGAATATTTTTGTTTTTTCTTTTTTTTTTTTTTTTGTTCTCTCTTTCTTTCTCTTTTTCCCTTCGTTATTTTTCTTTTTATTTTTATTTTTATTTACTTTTTCTTTTTTAATTTTTCAATTCTTATCCACTGTTGATGTCGTTGAAAGCGTTCGTCGATTTTTTTCCCTCTTCTTTATTTTCAAGCTTAAAATCATTATTATTATTATTATTATTATTATTATTATTATTATTATTATTATTATTATTATTATTATTATTATTATTATTATTATTATTATTCTTTTTTTGTTTTTATTTTTGTATTTTTTTTGGTTATAATTAAGACATCGATTTTATTATATAGTAGAGAGACTAATTGAAATAGAATGAAGGATAAAGGGATATTTTTTTGAATGGTTTATACATTCTTTAATCATGGTATTTCGTACAATTTTACATAAATGACAGCAAAGGTTTTTACGTAAATTATCAACTAAGTATTTTATGTTATTACACAGTCCTTTTGGTAGATATCTACGTCGTTGGAATATACGAATCGGGATTAATAAAATATGCAGAGGTTCAGAAAGTGCCGTAGAAATAATACACGATGTTTTGTTATCGCTCGAACGACGTTCCGTGCTTTTGTTCTTGAAGGAAAGAACAAATAAAAAGGAAAAAAAAATACAAAGAATTCAAAGGCGGATAAAAGATGAAAGATTTAACTCAGATATATCGATAAGACAAAGAGAAAGATACATATATATATATATATATACTGAGAGAGAGAGAGAGAGGAAAATAAACAACATATATTTTCTTTTATCATTTTAAGACGGATAAATTTAAAAAGTACGATGGGATGAGATTGTATAAATTCATTGCATTTTTTTTTTTTTTTTTTTTTTTTTTAGAAAGAAAAAAGAAAAATATATAAGAAAGTAGAATATCTCGAAAATGATGGAGATGACAAACTATTCTAGGGAATTAAACAAACAAGTTTATTTAATTTCTTAGATCGTATTTAATATTTAATTTGAAATATTTTTGTTTTATTTGAAATAAAATGATTTTGTATTAATTATGCTTTAGTTGAAAGAAAAATCAACGAATATTATAAGTATACCAATTAGAAACGAAATAGAAGAATATGTTTAACAGAGAAATAAGATGATTATTGTTTTAATAGAGAATGAGAAAAAAAGAGAAGAAAAAAGGATAGGAGAGAGAGAGAGAGAGAGAGAGTAACTCTCGAATCTCGAGTAGATTCGATATTTTATCGTGAGGATATAATTGCGGTCTCATATTCCATAGCGTTTATCCGATAACACGATAATTACGACGTCGACTCCATTCGAATAGTAAGCAATTATTAAACACCGTTATTAAATCGTTTCGTTCTAGTCGAATAGCATTGTAAATCGAGATGAAAAATGGTAATAAATACTATTTCATTAGCCGGAGGTGATCTAATTATCGATCGAACGAGGCGTGAAATAATTGGACGATCGTTAACGACCGAATTACGAATTTCTCGTTTCACATGCGATTAACGTCGTAATCCATTTATTTCACATTTTCTTTTTCCTTTCTTTTTTCTTTTTTTCTTTTTTTTTTTTTTTTTGTACTTATTAATCTTTTCTTTTTCTTTATTTTCATTTTTTATTCTTCTTCTTCTTCTTCCTTTCCTTTTAATTCTTCTTTTTAATTCTTCAATTTTTCCAAATTGCCAATGAACAATTTTCTGGAAATTTATTTTCTCGAAAAACTTTTTCTTCCCCTACGATAAAGACATCGTAATAACATCGCCCCTAATTAAATATCTTTAATAACGTATCACAATTTTCAATGAAAATTTTATACGATCATTTATATATATATATATATATATATTATATAAGGAAAAGATTTCAAATTTGTTTTTGACATTAAATTTATTTTGAAATATTTTTACAATAAATTGATTACGTTCTTTGACTATATATAAATATATATATATACATTTATATTTCATAAATATTTTCAAATATTTTTATTTATAAATATTGTTAACTCTTTTTCTCTCTCTCTTTCTCTTTCTCTCTCTTTCTCTCTTTTTCATTCTGAAAAATAATTAATAAGATACTAATATCGTCTTTGTGAGATAATTTTTGTTTGTTCTTGGATAAAGTTGAAAGCTCCTAACTCCGCCGGTTATATCCTTTTCTTCTCCCTTTTCGAAGGGCCATTCTTCATGAAAATGAAAAGCAGTTCCCGATAAAGTGTTAGAATGAAAGAGGAGCAAAACAGAAGGAAATAGAAGGGAGAAAAGGGAAAGAAATCATGAGGAAGGATCTCTTTATAATCTCTAGGAAATTCTGTCGAGGGAAAGGATGAATTTTGCACGATTAATCAAGGAACGTTAAGGGGCTAAGAAATACCTAAAGGAAAAGGTATATCTCGTAGAATGTTATCCTTGAAAAAGAACAAAGTATAAAGAATACAATCCATTTGATTGCAAAACGTTACGTTCAAAATGATTTAAATTATTTCAAGATTCGTTAGAAGGAACGATTTATTTTAAATCGAAGTTACAATATCCAGTTGTTACATCCTACCCATCGTATCTTTAACGAGATATAACGATCAGACTGATTTTACATTAATTAATTCTTTAATGATAAAATATCATTTTGAAAGTGTCCATCTGTTCGGATAATTAAAATCAAACGATGACGAGTATACTCGTACAAAATCCAAAGTAAATAGACTCTTTTTTATTGGTAATTTCCATTAATTGAGAATAAAATGACAAATAGTACGAGTTAAATTATTTGAAAAACTAATAATTTTATCATACGTAAATTCGTTAATGCAGCGAACGTTATTAATTAATACGGTTTTTTTCGGTTCTTACTTTTTT